ATATCTTAAAGTTTAAACTGTGTAACCCATTGCATATGCTTGTATTGTATAGAGGGTGATCTGATAAAACTCTCAGTCCTAGACACCAAGATAGTTAAGTGCTATTAGGGATAGCAATTTAAGGGTTAAGGATTTACGATAAACAAGTGGAATATTTTAACTGAGTGAGTCATATCTGTATTTTTAAATAGTGCATTAAGTTTGCTCTCTGAAGTATAAACAATATGTTATATAGAATGCTGCTAAGGCAGATCAATTGCTTACTGATTTTTGAGATTGCAGGTGTGTTCAAAGGAGTTGACTTCCTATGATCCTTTTGTCACTCATGAAAATGGGAAGCTTCATAAGAAGGTAAGTAGATATCTTTGTAATAAATCTTGTGTTTTATTATTTATTAATGTTAGTTTTTCTATATTGATGTTATAGGTTCATCAGATTTAGTTATACCTGTGCCGTATATATATATATTTTTTTCAGGTAATAGAATATAATGGAAAGTATGACTAACAATCATCACAAATATCAGTCTAATTTTTTTTTCAAAGAACCAGGCAAACATTTTCATTCTCAAAAGCATAACAGTACCACAAGATATGTCCATAATTATATTTTGAAACTGCTTTCAATGTCAGCAAAATTTTGAGAAAAGAGGTTTGGGTTTAAGACTTTATGCAATATTGATGAGCTTTTGGATCAGTGTGGTATGGTAAATCAAATGCAGAAGTACAGTATTTTGAACCATCTTGCTAAGAAAAGTATTGTCAATTCTTAATCTCTTTTGGTGAAACATTTTTCACTGAGTAAATATCATCATAAAGTGAATGGCTGTTTACATAGAATTCTATGGGTAATTTTTACTTTTCATCATATAGTATTTGAGAACCTATTTCCAAGATAGAAAGCCGTATCCACTGCCTTAGTCTCTGCTAGTGTGTCTTCAGTAGAGCTGCTTTTCACAACTCTTCTTATTTTGTCTCCCAGAACATATTTCTAGTTTCACTACAAGAAAAATCACTGTCCCCAAAACTAATAAATCCATCAGGGAGATTAACATAGGAAGCATCACTGTACACAACAGACTTGAACTTAGAAATGTCACCCGGTCTTAAATGATACATTGACGTCTCAAAACTACTTTTTTTTCTGAAATTTATTAGCCCTAATCAGATCTTCTACTTTGGTATTATTTATGTTACAGTAAGTTCTAATACATCTTATGTTAAGTCAGGTCTTAAATTAATATATCACCAGCCTAGTTAGCCTCCTAGACTTGTATAAGTCTCCTTTTCTTCTAAATTACTTTCTATATGAGGATTAACAGTACAGTAAGTCCCCAACTTAAGAACATAATGGGGACCGAGAGGCTGTTTGCAAGTTGATTTGTTTGTATGTCGAAAGCCGGGTCTCCATTACCTTTTTCTGATTGTTTTAAAGTTTTTTTTACATTAAGAATACCTGTAAATAAATCCCAATAAGTACAACATACCTTATACAGTACCAGACCCTTGAACTATATTCGCGCCCGGGAAATTTGAAGTTTGCTAGTATCTTTCAAACAATTTTTTTGACTTTAGTACTTCCAAAAGTTTGTTTGTATGTATGGAATGTTCATGAGTAGAATGTTCTTAAGTAGGGGACTATCTGTACTCTTTTTTGATGGAGTGTGACACTACACTATTTAAACAATATCCATTGTATCTAAAAGTAGTAATTGGTCAGTGACCATATTTCCAAATCTCCTTGTCATCCCTCACAAGAAATCATCTACATACCACACAGTTTTCCTCATTGATACCAGAAGAATGCTGCAGATTCAGTTTTCACCTGATTGAATCCCATCTTGAGATGTTTCTTTCTGGCTACATCATTAACCCAATGCCGCCGGGTATGACGTGTACATACGTGCTATGCCCACCTTGAGTACTTGTTTGATTGTTTTTACGCATAGATGGCAACACTTGTACTAAATTTTCTGTAGATCCAGCACGACTAAGTATAGTTATTACCATTGTCTCTTTTGATATGAATCTTACAATTTCCAGAATACTCTTGACTGTTATAGTTCTTTTCTTCCTCTATTTATTACAACTTCAATTTGCTACAGCATTTCCTATTGGATTTATAGCTGCTTCTATTGCTTTTGTCTCATTCCTGACCTTATCTTCCTTTACCCTTTTATCCTTCAACTTATTAAGTTGTTCATTTCTTCCTCCTTTGAAGTTATTGTTGAAACTATATGGAAACAAGAACATATGAGTCATAGGCAATATTTCAACCATAATTCAAAATCACTTCCATCTTGGCCAGTGACTGCAGCTGGTGTGACCCACTCCTTTTGCTCTTCTCACTCTGCCTTTTCATTGATATGCTCCGAAATCATATACATCCTGTGTGATGTGCAATTTCTGCATTTTAAAGAAAATATTTTCAGCAGTTTTGATTATTCTTTTTCATAGCATGTGCATACATTCACTTGACAATAAGTCTATAAATGCATAGT